GCGTGACGAGAGAGTGAAAGAGAGAGAGAGGAGGGGGGGCGCTGCCGCCCCAGCGAGTCGAATCGGGTGCTGGATCGGCTCGAATCGGGCCGATCGATCGATTTACGATCGGGCGCGCACCTGACCGGCATAGAGGCGGCCGGCGCCGATCGAAACGCGGGCACGCACGCGCCCGCTCCCGCATTATTCGTCGCGCGCAAGTGGGAACGTATACACGCACGCGACGGTCGCGCTGCCTGACCCAGATAACGGCCGCGGATCGGTGCAGCCCGCTCTACATTTTCGCCGCGTTGTCATCGGGCGGCAAAATTATCGCGATCCATGGTGATCTTGGGCCGTGCGCGGATGGAGGCGCGCGTTCGAAAGGGTATTCCATTTGTAGGTAAATGGAACGAACGGAGGAGAGAACGTGGAATTGGACGAGTCGAGTTTTGGTTTGAATTCGAGCAGTTTCTTTCGTCGATCGAACAATTTGACACGATTCGAATGATACTCGAACGATACTCGTATTTGGATGGATAGAGCGTGTTCTATCCGATGATTTCGAATCGTAGATGGATGGATAGGGTAGGGGTGTGGTGGTCGGTTGAATTTAATAACTCGGTGTCGAATTACTTTGGTTGTAAAACGTTTTCGAGTAATTCGATATATCCGAACCGAGTATTGGATACTCGAAACGAGTGTATTTAAAGTCGACCATTGTACATACAATGGTTTCGAATTACATATCGTTCGAGTATTCGAGCGAGTATGGTGTCGAATCACGTCTTAATTCGAATCACTTGAATTCCTATCATCGATGCTTAATTTTTATTCTTTTTTTTTTTTTTTTCTTTCTTTTATCAATTCTATCTCGCCAACGCGTATAAACTATCCTTTCGAACGGGAAAGGAAATCCAATCGATAAAAATATAGAAACACGAGAAATCGAGCAATTCTTTTTCGCGTTTAAATAAAGATTCAAAAAGAACGATCTCTGATTAAAAAGGAGACGCTTCTAATAATCCTAAAAGCCAGAAACGAAGTTGGCCATAACCCATCTCCCCCCTCCCCCTTCCCCCCCCCGCCGCTGACTACAGGTAATGGTAACCATAACGCAGCCGTCGAGTGCCAGACGAGGCGCACAAGCTGAGCGTATCCGGCACGAACGTGCGCATAAGTGCACGCCGGAATGCACTGACGTAGCAGCGGTGCATACGCGCCGCACACGCGTGCACTCGGTCACGCGATCGTTGCATACATACGCGCATGCATATCTATACACTGCATCTCAAAAGTACCCGACCCCTTTGACACAGGCGTGATTCCCCGTAAAGAGAAGCCAAAGGGACGACGATGAAATTAACGAAAATACGATAATAAAAATATATTCCGATCCATCCATCCGTCCATTAAATTCCCCCTTCCAATCCCCCAACCATCGTTACTGCGTAAATTGTTCGAAATTGGCCTCTCTCTCTCTCTCTCTCTCTGTCTCGACATCACCAGGTCGAGGCAACGAAATTAAACTATCTTTAGATCCCCCCTTCTTCCCCCGTTTGAGAAATTCCATTCTCAAACTGTTTTGCACAAAAATTGTTTTGAACGAACGCAAGGATTCAAACGTTTCACTAACGTTTTTCTAAAAAAAAAAAAAAAAAAGAAAAGAAAGGCCGAAACGAGAGTCAGAAGAAGCATTTCGAAATAATAATAATAATAATAATAATAATAATAGGTAGAGGTTACTTATGACTAATAGTGTACCGGGATCGGAACGAGAGACAGAGAGAGAGAGAGAGAGAGGAACGAAAGAGGAAGGAGAGAAGAAAAAAGAGGGGAGAAGAGCGGGTTCCGCTGGTGTGTGCCGGCATGTGCAAGCGCAAGGTCGCGGCGGGGTTGGGAATTCGGACTGCCAAGGGTTCCCACCCCTTCGGTATTGCACCACAATTCTGACACTACTACCTGAACGACCGACTGCCGTTAGACGGAGATCGAGAGACGCGAGGGAAGAGAGAGAAAGAGAGAGAGAGAGAGAGAGTGGGAGGTCGAGCCATGAGAGGGGCCATCGCGTCTCGTTTCAGAGCGTATCCTTCGGGAATACCTACCGGGTGAGCCCGCAGGATTCCGCGGATGGGTTTCGTTTGGGAAACCTGTTTCGGTTAAGGGAGGAGTTTGGACGCGTTTGTTTCGAGTTTACATGTATTGTTCATCGATCACGGATGTTGATATAGAATAATTTTGACGTTTTGTAATTTTTTTTAATTCGAGAAATTTTAATTGGATCGATTGTTGTTAGAATTTTTTATTGTGAATGCGAAGATTGAAGGAGATTGTTTTTTTTTTATTTGAATTGTATTTTTGAAAGATTTTGTTCGTTGTATCGTTGAAAAATTTAATTATGGTTTAATTATTATTATTAGAATTTTATCGAATATGAAATTACGTACGCGCGCGAGATACAGGTAGATTGTGCTCGTTCGATCGTTCGATATTATAATAAAATATTAATTCGATAATTTATAAAACGATGCAATTCCCAATTACGAAATATTTAGGCACCGATTATAAATAATCAATTGTACAATGCAGAACGCGTTTCGACTATCGTGTCAACCTCCTTCTTCTACAATTGTTAATGATTGACGACAGAAACTTTTCCATTTATGCTACAATGTCTCGTTTCGTGACGCGAGTCGTTACTTGATGTTATTTGATTGAATACGTCATTTATACGTCATTTCCGTTTATGACCACGTTGAAATTGTAGTCATCATCATGCACATTTGCAAGATTACATATAATAGTGGAAGCGTAATAATGGAATACAGTAGGGCAAAATACGTCACACATTTATATCGGCCATATTATTATTACGGGCGATATAAAACAAAAGAATGTTGTACAAAATTATATTAGATTTTTCTTTTTTTTTTTAACAATCCTCGATCAAAAGTTACTTCTACTATATTAAAGCATACTCCTTTTTTTTTCCCATTTCTCTCCCCCGAGAAGAAAATAGGACGAGGAATTTCTGGAAACGAAGAGAAACGCTCTTATTAAGAAAAGTGTTGAAGCCCTCCCTCCCCAAAGTGGGTGTAACGTAACTGTCGCGATAATTAAATTGTTGACGATGGAAGCTGACTACTAACTTGTGATCTTTTTAGAAGTGGTTATTTATAACGAACTAACTAAGAGGAAGTGACACTCCAATCTTCTTTTAAAATAATCACTCGTCCCTTAAATAGAAATCTTACAAATATCCCATCCTATATACATCACCTTCATCCTCTAATTCCATTTTCAGGTAAAATTTCTTCCAAAATAATAATTTTCCATGATCTCTCTTTTATCACGATTTATGTCGATTATGCCCCAACTCGAGGACTCCGTTTGGAAGTCGTCGAGTACTTTTTTCTCCAACGATATGATTCTTATGATCTTTGGATCATCTCTTTTCTTCCGTTATTTTCGTAGATAGGATAGGAGGGGCAATTTCTAGAGAATCACCCGTTATACGCGTAGACCGATCTGTTCGCGTAATATTATAGTCCGGTGAACAGTAATCTGGGTTACGCCCTCCCCTCGATTCATAAGAGCCACGCGTTAAAGTAGGAGAGAGCGTGATTTCTCTCGTACCTTCATTCTCTCCCCCTCCTCCGCCGACTCTCTTTCCACTCTTTCCACTTTTTCACGCTTTCTCCTGGGACTCTCTCTCTCTCTCTTCCTCTCTCCCCCCCTCCTTCTTTCAACCTCATCTTCAATCTTTTTTCTTTTCTTCCATTTTTCCCCTCCTTCTTTTATCCGTCCCCGATTTTCGTTTCTTCCCACTTTTCTTAATCCTAAACTGTTTACTCGTCGTCGATCTTACATCCTTTTCTTTAATTTTTTTCGACTTTTCGACTTTCATCGACACAGTATCTCGGTATATTTTCAAAGATAGGAAGATGAGCAGGATATTTGCCATTTGTCCTCCGTTTTATTTTTATTTTAAATCGAGAAAAAAAGAAACAAATTCTTCCAATTGATGCTGGCGAGGATTATCGTCGCGGAACTTTTCCACGCGGATCGTGGAATTCCCGGAATCGCGATGGTGCAGAAACGAAACGAAACACAAGTAAGCTCGCGAACGAGCGCTCGTAAATCCAGAATTAAAGTGGGAAAGTAGAACGCGAGGCGAGGAGGAGATTACGAAGGAGGAAAAGGAGGAGGGGGGAAGAGAAAAAAGAAAAGTGGAGTAGAGCAGAGAGTAGAATGAAAAATTTTCCTTCTCCTCCAGAAGAGGAGGAGGAAGTAAACGGAAGGCGGGGTTCTTTTCTTTTCTTCGGAGCTAAATATCTAAGAAAAATATGCCGGTGGAAAAAAAAAGGAGCAGGGACAATTACTTGCGGAGAGAAGGGAGAATCGTGGTGGAGGTCCTTTTCTGAAAATTCTGAATTATTACGAAAGGAAACGGGGGGGGGGGGAAATTTCCGTGGGGAGATAGGAAAGAAGGAGGGGGGAACGAGAGGAGGAGGCGAAGAGAGAAGCGTCTGTGGGTGGCATGCAACAAGTTTGGACCATTTTCTTCAACTTCCCTTCTCGTGCCATTCTCCCCGCGAAGTTGTTGATTTTTCCATTATTCGGGATGACGGGGATGGAAAAACGCGCGTCGAACATCTTCCTTTTGCGTAAATCTACACTTTCGATTTTTTTTTTCGAAAATCAACGAGTCTTGATTCGTGTTTTGCCAAAGCTACGATGCAATCGTCGCAATACGAAACGAGGATTATAAATTGAACGCTTAAATATTAATTAAAGAGGAACGCGTATCGTTTGAATGAAAATTTCATTACTGAACAATCGCATTGTTGACTCGATCGAATCAAAGATAGACGAGAAGAAGAAGAAGAAGAAGAAGAATAAAAAGTGGAAGATTTTGACAAATTGTCTCGATAAATTCTACTTTTTGTACGATAATGACCATGAAAGTTCAACGTGTTCCCCCCCATTTTTCCACTCACCACTATCTTTTTATTTTTCAGTGGGCCAGCGATATTCGATAAATCAAGGTCGAAGGAAGGAAGGAAGGAAGGAAGGAAAGAGGAGAGAAGAAGGCATCGGGCCGGGATTCTATCGTGACGCAGAAAAATCAAATTAAACAGCCGCTTTTAAGTCGAATTAAAACGAATGCGCTTAATTAAAGCGGCCTCCGCCGCTCAACTAAAGGAGTTTTATTGACAGCGACCGACTCTCCTTTGTCGGCCCCACTGTGTACCCTTTCATTATTACGTTAAAAGATGCCCACGACTTTTTTTTTTCTAATTTTTTTTTTTTAGTTTTTTGCCGCAAATAACGCTGGATTTCTCTCTCTCTCTTTTTTCCCTAGTTTTTCTCTCTGTACGAAATGTTTCTTTTCTTTGTCATTTTTAGAAGTATTTTTGTTCTAGCTTTTTTTTTGCGAAAACGTGGATTCACGACTCTTTTGGCGAAAAGGTAAAAGAAAAAAAAAAAGGTTGCGAGTATAATCGCGCAATGAATTAATTTTCTCTCTCTTTTTTTTTTCTTTTTACTTCGTTTGTTTTCTTGGATGGAATTTAAAATTAAATTATTATTCGTCGAAAAGTTTACCGATTGGAAAATAAAGGATTTGAAACTTGGATCGTTCGATTTCTTTTTCAATCCGAAACTCGAAGTTTTCATCATGTTCGATCGTTCAAGACATATCTAAGAAATGTCAGAAAAAGAGGGAAACAATTTAACATTTTTCAAAGAATTACGAGATCCACGCATCTCTACGTAATCTGTTAAACATTAAGTCCTAATAAACAATCTCATCCCTTCCCCTCTTCACTGCCGTATTCCTGACATTGGCCCCGCAATTAGAAATTCCCACAGTGAACAGGGGAGGATTCACCCCCTGTTCCTTTCTCGCTCCCAACCCTCGCTTCCTTTTCCAACACTCCACACTCCCCCTTTTTTCCACGCCGCTCCTTTTCATTTTCGGCCGCCTCCGGGAAAAGGAGGCGCCGGATGGATCGACGTTTAACGCGACGTTTAAAGCGAGAAAGAAAGAGAAACGGCCGCGTATTTAGCGCGGTGAAACCTCGGACACCGTTAACGCGCGCTCGTCTTTGGCCGGCAAACGTGGTGTTCCGTTATGGCTCCTTTTGTCACGGCTCTCCACCTTTTTCTGACCGATAAAACCGTGACCCATCCGCGATACCATCATTCGTTCGAGCTTCGTTTCAACTCGACACGTATCGTTGTCAAAATTATATATATATATGTTTTATTTTTTCGTTTATTTCGTTTGTACGACATGTACAATGTGAGTTCGAGTACGAAGAATCTCTATGGAATCTCGTGGACACGATGTAAGAGTGAATGTGTAATCGTTCGAAGCAAACTTAACTTCTTTGGGAAACGGAATATAGACACCGATGTACGAGCGAATCAAAGTGTTCGAAGCAAACGCTTCCTCATTTTACGCTTTGTATACAATAAATTTGTATATAATAAACATGTGCAGCGATTATTTAATTCTCAGAATTTTTATTCCCTTTGCGAAAATCGAATCGACGAATGTTCAAGCAACGGTATTTAACAGGATTTATGAGACGCGCATGGCAAAAATATCCAAAGATACACGAAACGAATCTCTCTTACCTTTATTCATTCAATCGTATGAAAAAACGATCCAGAAAAATCCACAAATTCAAATCTTCGATTCCTCTCGTTCAAAATTTTTACACAAAAAATTCCAAGCTTCGTGTCAACGATCATCGAAAAGACGACGAGAATTGCATTAAAAAATGATCGCAAAGAAACTCGAATCTTCGATTCCTTTCGTTCAAAATTTTTTACAGAAAAAATTCGAAGCCTGGTCGAGAAGAGGACGAGGAGAGAGGCTGACTGGCCGCCCTCCGTAATTTAACTCCGCGTGGAACAATGAGACGTCCACGTCGAAAACGGGGTTATTTAATACAGATATTTTTCATAAGTCAAGCATTGTGTGCAAATAACAGCGCATAGTACGTGTGCATACTTACACGCGGGGAGGAATCGCTGATGGTTTGTTCACGCGGTTTGACCGTCCGTAATTCGCAACGCGGTTCTGTATCCCCGCGAGGCGTGTTAATAAATCTCGTGAGATCACCGGTGGTGGAGGAAGGGAGCATCGGGGCACCGCGACGACGACGACGACGACGACGGCGAAAAAAAGGAGAGGGGACGAAGGGCGCGAGAATTGCTCTTTTCCTTCGTTTATCCTCGTTGCGCCCTTGTTGTTGCGCCCTAATTATTCTCTATTCTCTTGTTTCTTCTTTTTTTTCTTTCTTTCTTTTTCTTCGAGTTTGCAATGTCGAGTCTATCCCCTAGCAAGATTCAAGAGGATGAAATAAAAATTTCTCCAGATTTTAAATATTTCGATACATACATCGTGTAGTGATAAAGGAAAGGAAGATTCTCGATACTTTTATCAAATCCACGTAATTATAATTGGAGATATAAAAGTCGCATCTTGCAACTTCGACACGTATAGTTGCAATTAGTGAATAAATGAAAATGGGAACATGATGGAAAGAATGGAAAGTTCGTAAATTCTATCTATAAATTGTGTTTAAATCTGAAGCGGAAATCGCAAGTCGAGAAGACGCAGATAGAAGATATCGAAAATTCATAAAAGATAAAAAAAGATTGAAACGTGGGTCGAAAAAATTCGAAACGGAACTTCTTTTCTTTCTTTTTTTTTTTTTTTTTCTTCTCTTCCGCGTGAGAAACCGGCGGGATTGTTTTTTGAACCGTAGGAACGGGGATTCCCCCGGTGTGAGTGACATGTGTCACAAATTGTGTCGAACCCTTATTTAGTGGCGCATCAAAAAGTTAGCCCACTTTCACTCGCACGCACCACCGCGATCACCACTGCTTTCCCCTCCCCTCCCCCTTCCTCTTTATTGTCACTCTTCCAATGCCACGATCCAATTTTTTTTTCTCTCCTTCCCTTCTCTTTTTTTTCTTCTTTTCTCTTTCCTTTTTTCTTCTTTCTTTTTTCCTTTTTTTTTTTCTTCTTTCGTCCCCGCTCTGCGCTTCTTTGACGCACGGAACGTGGAGGATTCCCGGACACAATGCGACGTAATTGGAAGTCACCGGATGCTGAGAATTGGCCGTTTCCCATGATTTCCGTGGATTTATCGAGCATTAACTCGCGAACGAGGATCTCGTTCCTAGGATCTTTCTATTTTTATTTTTCCACCTTTTTTTATCGATTTAAAGAATTACGATTTTCGTGGAGTCTTAGGCCGATTTTTCTCGACATTATTCGAAGAGTTTTTAGTTTAATCAATATCGAATTCGTTCTAGGATCTTTGTATTTTTATTTTTCGAGGCATTGTCGTATCTTCCTTTTCGATCTTTTTTATCGATCTAAAGAATTACGATTTTCGTGGAGTCTTAGGCCGATTTTTCTCGACATTATTCGAAGAGTTTTTAATTTAATCAATATCGAATTCGATCTCTAGGATCTTTGTATTTTTATTTTTTTTTTTTTATTGTCGTATCTTCCTTTTTCCGATCTTTTTTTATCGATCTAAGGAATTACGATTTTCGTAGATCTTCTCGAGATTCTTATGGATTTTTATGGATATTATTCGATGAATTTTGATTTAATCGATATCGAATTGTATCTTTGAATACATCTATACACAGGAACATTGATTTGAAATGTGATATCGGCGAAACAATGGATCCGGTAGTTCGGTAATAATCTATTTTCTACTTAACACCGTTAATGGGCCCAAACGAGAGGAAGCAGCACTCGAAGTGGCGTCATAAATCGCCGCATCCCTCTGCGGCGACAAATAAATACGCGTAAAACGGGGAGACCGAGTCCCTTCGAGTTGTTGTACAAACATAAAGGGCGGCTGGGAGGCCGATTTATCAAGGGAGAACGGAAGTTATCATTAGCCTCGAGTTTCCTGTCCCGGGAAATTGTCCTTTTCCTAAGGAATCTTATGAACTGGCCGAGACCAAGAAATCTCAGAGTTAAAAACTTCCGAAAATTCAGGCGTAAACAAATCTCGACAAAACGAGAAGATATAATTACCAACGAACAACTTTTCGCTTTTCTCCTTCTTCTTCTTCTTCTTCTTCTTCTTCTACGTTCCCCCAACGTCATCGAGTCATTGAATTGGAAAATTATAGAAAACTCGGTGGCCCGATCGATTTGCGCGGGAAATATCGAATAAAAGTAGAATAGAAGAAACGGTTGAATAGCCTCTCCTTCACCTTCTTCCATGGCCTCTATCACGACTCGAGGTCTAAACGGTCGTAAAAAGAGGAAGAGAGCGGCGAGCGGAGAGAGCGACGCGAGCCATTATTTCGCTCGATGCGGCATGGGTGGCGTGGGTCACCCGGTAGATCCACGTTCTCATACCCGATACTGTTATCGGCTACTAAAAGATAATCGGCCGCCCCGATGCGCGTCCACTCGAGTGGGCGTGCGACCGGCTGCGATCGTCGCGCAATTTATTCAGCTGTCCCCAATACCGATGGAATTCAGACTTTGCCCCACGAATTCCGCTCCTCAACTCGCCAGTCTCCTTCGATAACTCTGTGCGCTCGACTTACCCGCGTCTCGCCTCTTCTGCACTCGCGTTTCGGGAATAAATTCGAGAAAGAGGAGGTTGTAGGAAGGAGGGTCGAGGTTTCGTCCTTTCAAGCCTTTTTTCGATTCGAGCGAAACATCTTTTGTTTTCTGAGAATTTGTTCGCTTTGAAATCGTTGATTTCAAGCGGTTAATAACGTAATTGGAAACGGAGTTGTTAGAGAGCTTTTCGTTAAGTTTGTTCGATAATGGAATTGGTATCGAGAAGAACAACGCGTATACCGACGCTTTGATTTTCCAGAAATCTAATCGGGGCAAAGTTAAGCAGTTGTATCTATATGCAAAATACAGGGAGTGCGGTTTTGGTACCGTGCCAAAAGTTCAACGCTGACATTTTCAGAATGAAGCGATAGTGGTGGTGTATCAAGGATGGAATCCTCGCATAAAGATCCTCGTGGATAAAACGTACCCTGTGCACGCGATATTCTACCAATGTAAATTGCTGGACTGCGGATTTTTGTTCAAAAAATCAATCCTCGCCTGAAACGACGAACAAAACCTCGAAACAAAGATTTTCTTTCATCCTCGACTGTAACTGTAATTGCGTTCTACACAATCCCTCCTCGTTCTTGCGTTATTCCTGTACGCATTCCTTGTGCAAATTTCAAATACACTCGAATTTTCTAGAAATATAAAGAAGATATTTTGCAAAAAAAAAAAAAAATCCATCGTATTCGTGGAAATTCGATTCCTTCCAAATACAGCTTTCGAAATTTCTCCCGCGTTTCGAAGCGTTCCGCTATCGAAAAACGAGGTTCTCGTAAGCTTTCGTAGCGACGTTGCTTCGTCGATTCGCGACGGAGCAAAGTGTCGTTTTACGTAATCGCGTTTAAGCGCGTCCTTGCGGACG